GATTACAGGCATGTGCCACCACACCTGGTGTCAGGGCTGGGAATGTGTGCCTGGGGTTTCAGGGATCAAACTCAGGTCCTTGTGCTTGTCAAGCAGGCAATTTGACCGCCAATCTAGATATAAAATTAAACTTTATAATTCTGCTTTCGCTATCTACACTGGTATTTGACAGACACTGAGGAAATTAAAATGAAAACTCCACTGATAGTAAAAGTTTTAGGCGGCTAGGGAGATGGCTCAGTGGAATAAGTGCTTCCTTGGGAAGTGCAAGGGCCTGAGTTCAATCCCTGGTTCCACCAAAAAAAAAAAAAGGGGCGGTGGCAATGTAGCTCTGTACAAAGGCCAAAAGTTCAATCCTCAGTACCTCCCCCCAGAAAAAGTAATAGTAAAAGTTTTAAATAATTTTTCCTCATAAATTAATAAATTTCATAAATTCTTTTTTTCATAAATTAATAAAACTCTTCAAGGCAGATGACCAGAAAAATCAGTATACATATATCTATTCTAAACATATTTTGAACACTAATTAATGCAAATGAATTAACTTTGTATTTATGTTTTTAATTAAATATGTTTTTCAAATTGAAATGACAACATTGAGTTTTTATACCAAGGTCCCAAAATCTGACACATGTATCAGGATTTTATATTTAGAAAAAAAATCAACATTTTCCAGGAAAAGGGGTTCATTTTCAAACTTTACAGTCAGCATGCTGTACAACTAAAATAATCATTTGCACATAAACTTAGTAATATGTTTCTGTTTTGCTCTGCCCTTTAGCAACCTTCCACTGACTTAGTCCATACATTCCTGGGCGGTTTGTCATCTAAAACTGAAGCAGGACTTAAAAAGTCAAGTTTCCCCCAAACATCCTCCTTCCTACAGTGGTTCTTTTTTTTTATATAATGTATTTAGTATAGGGTCTACAGGGTCTCACAGATCTGACTTGTAGTGATTCTCCTGTTTTCAGCCTCCCAAGTGCTGGGATTACAGACAAGGGCCACGGCGCCCAGTCTCGGTTGCCCTCTCAGCGCACCCCTGGGGGGGCGGGGCCAGCACAGTACACCGGGATCAAACCTTGGTCCCTGCATCTCAGCTGTTGTTCTTTGTTCTAATACAGAATAAAACAATAACTTTTGTCCCTATAAGTAAAGTTTTATAACCTCCTGTTCCCATAATGTCTTGTTTTGCCTGGGCAAGGCCACCACAATACATTAAGTCACTTAACTGTCACAGCTTAACAAACTGCCTTTGTTTTATTTCTGAAAACTTGTTGTCTACAAGTTTCATGCTATTAGCGACCCCTCCAGCTACATGTAGAAAACAGGAGCCCTTCCTTTGTTCACAATTCAGTCTTCCGCATACTTCTTTTTAAATGTATTTTGTGCAGGGTCTCACTATGCATCTTGGACTTGTAGTGATCCTCTTGTTTTCAGCCTCCCCAGCGCTAGGATTACAGGCAGGCATCGCCATGCCCAGTCTCTGTGGCCAGCTCAGTGTGCCCAGGTTGGGGCTGGTGCCGGATGTGGTGCTGGGGATCGAACCACAGTCCCTGCCCGTGCTTGCCTAAGCAGGAGCTTTAGTCCACTGAGCTATCTCACTAGTCCTCAGAACTAAGTTTTTTGGATGAGTCTGCTGAGGCAGGATATACCTAAGTAAACTGATACTCCTGAATCTCCTGCAGCCTCTCTGGTCTCTTAAATCATACAACAAAATTGTTTTTATTTCTTTAATGTTGTTTTTTCTGAAAACACATTAAAAATACAAGATAAAACATTACCGGTGCTCTAAAAAAAAAAATCCAGAAAAACCTCAAGCCTTACAGAAATATACAATTGTAAGCCTTTTCTAATTCTATTTCCTCCAAAACTGTTTTAGTGCATATTATGAAAGATTTACTTATATTTTAATATTTCTCTGAATACAGAATTCCCTAGTGCCATTAACAAAAAGATACCCAAACCTTTTCCCCTCTTTCTTTCCTCTCCCTCCCTCCCTCCCTACTCTCTCTCTCCCCTTGCCTCTTTCTTTGTGCAGCAAGGGTGGACAATACTACGGACTGAAATGAGAAAGTGCTGACCTGCATCTCCAGCTCTCTTTAAATTTCAAGTTGAAACTAGGTCTCACCAAGAAGACCTCACACTTGCAATCATTCTGCCTCATCTGCGATCTGGGATTACAGGTGTGTATGACCATATTTGATAGATTTAGATTATTTGAGTTAATCATAATCCAAAGGCCCTGTGAATTTAGTACAGACCATAAACCAAATTGTGAACTTCGATGTTTTCCTGGGCTACTGATATGCAGTACCATACCCTCCCACAGTGCTAGGCAGTGGCAGGGAGCTGTGGTCAGGCCGTCGTGAAGGTTAGAACTGCCGCTCCACACACACTGGCTGCTCAACTATTATATTCATAGGTTAGGTACAGCAACCACAGTTTCCATTTATAATGGGTTTATTAGAACATAGCCCCACCATAATTTGAGTATTTATTTATACATAACTTTAATATCCAAATTAACTTTTCCATAAAAAATTTTCTGTTCTGTTTATGCTCACATAAAGTTGTTTTTTGGACTTTCAATTGCTGTATTACTTTAAATTATGGCAATGTAATTTATAATGGTATATCCCCTATATCCTTTCTAGGGGAAGGAATATGAAACTCAGAAGCATAATACATAAATTTAGAGCAACTCTTCTTGCTGTACAAACAATTAGCACTAATATAAATTAATGAACTGTCAAAAAACCTCTTCTAAGAAAGAAGATTCAGGGAACTATAAATCTTTGATTTGTTTGCATTTTTCATGAAGAATCCACTTTGTACATTTACACAGACCAAGATTAAATTAGTCTTGTGCAATTCTTTTGAAGTCTCAACAGACGCTACTGGAATTTTTTCTTCCCTGAGCTTATAATAAACACATTAAAAGTTCTTCACGGTGTGGAGCAAAGAATCCAAAGAAATATAAACAGAACAGAAAAAGAACAGCAAGAACATGGATAATGTGGGACATCCTAAGTAACAGATGAAAACCTCCTTTGAAAACAGGGAATACATGTAAAAATCCAAATCCTTTTTAAGAAATCAATCAGATACCATTGACATTACCACTCCACCTTAATGACAGGAGTCTACTTGGACTAGAAAACCTGCAGGACTCGTTTCTAGAACTTTGAGCCAGAATAGAATCAGTCATGAGCTCTAGGGGAACTCTGAGGTTGGGCTGGGCTCCTTCATTTCTTGGGGTGGAGGGAATATCTACTTTGTACTTGTTGCAAATCAGACCTACTCAATTTACTGTTGTAACAAGGGCTTATAGTACCTCTGTAGGGTGGAAAATTATGTTATCAAGTTTGAAATCTCCGTGAATCAAACTCTCCTCATTGTCATTTTCTGGCAAGTTTTTCTTGAGCCACTCAGATAGCTGTTCCATGGCAGGGATGTCCCGATGAGCTGCAGCTTGGTATTGCCTGGTCCAGGTAGATACCTGCAAGAGACAAACAAGAAAATCAGTAGAACTGAAACAGAAATGTAAAATCCAGCAGTCCCAAAGTAAAGCAAATTCAATTATGTCAAATTTTGTTTTACTGGTAAAATGACACACTGAGTTAGGCATCAAGTGATATGGGTTATAATATGTATTCAGGAATTATTTTGTGAAGGAAAAATTGCCTACAAACTTAGGACATTTTTGGAAGGGGGCACAAGAAACAAGCAAACCCTGAGAAAGGAAATAGTCATCAAGGAGGAAAGATCTTTAAAAACTTTAATACCTTTTACCATACTCACAGAAGCTTCTAAACATAATAAATATATGTGTAGTACAGAGGCTTTCAATCACTCTTAGAATTCAAGATAAACAAACCCAGTTTATCAATAGTTCTCTAAGAAGTGGAAGAATATTATCTATTTACTTACATCTCTATTTTTTGACCAATCTGCACAACTATGCAATAAGCAAAAATCTTTATCTTTGGGGTCTTACTGACCTAGGTTTATGTCTAAGCCATAGACTTGTGTATTACTAGTCTAAATCATGTCTAAGTCAGTAAACCTCAGTGTCTTCACTTGAACAATGGAAGCAACATAGGCGTTAGTGTTGCTGTGAAGGTTTTAAAAGATGTCCACCTCTTATCTCGGTCAGAATCTGGCTTATAACGAGTACACTCTGAAGTCCAGTTCCCTCCTCTTCTCAGCACTCCCCAAATGGCCCGCTTACAAAGACAAACAGGCCCATACACGTATGGTCTTGCTTTCCTTTTATGGAAATGCTCACCATCTCTTCCCTATCACTCTAAGTTTTATCTTTCCTAAAGAGTCATCACCAGACACACCTTTCCTAGGAAGTGTTCCTTAACTAAGCAAGGACCTATCAATCTCTGTGTTCTAGATGGCACAGCTCTTCTGATAAGCATCGAATGATTATTACTAAATTATACCACTTTCAAGTTTCATGCATATGAGTTGCATGTGGAAGTCTCTTAAAAATGATGACAGTTCATTTGGGGGAAGAACCTATTTCCATTTTTTTAAATGTTTACTACAGTACTCAACAAGTACTAAACACCCAGAAAAACTTAACAAACATCTGCCAGCATAGCAATGCAAAACTGGGTAGAAAAATACTCTGGTCAACTAAGTGAAGAGTCTGAAACGGAAGCTTTTGCTGACTAAAATTTAACTAAGACACAAAATTATTTTATGCTAAAAAAACTCAATCCGAAGGATAATGTTAAAATAGCAAAGTCTCACAAAACCATGTAATAGGGTTTTTGCTGTTGTTGTTTGTTGTTTTGGTGCTGCAAATCAAACCTGGCCCTTGCCAGGCAGTCACTTGTGCCACTGGGCTACGTCCCCAGCCCACAATCAGTTTTTATTTTGACAAATATATGCAATGTTGTATTTTTAAGAACTTAAAAAAAAATAGTTTTTCTCATGGATGTATTACCTGTCTTTTGCAGTAGCCCACACCTGTTCCGTATCCTTCCAGCTGCAATGATTGTATGTTCAAGGAATGTAACCGAGCCAGCATTTCGATCATGGCCACATAGATGGCGGAGCGTTCTGCTGGGCTAACTTCAGGAAGTGTGAAATCACGAAAGATTCGCCCCTGTGGAAGACATCACCACAGGCAATTTATTATTTTTTAATTTTTTATTAATTTTTTTTCAGAACTGGGCATTCAATTCAGACCCTTGTGCTTGCCAGTGAGGCACTTATTCCACTGAGCCATCTCCCTGGCCCGATTTTTTTTTAATTAATTTTAGTGAGAAAGAAATAGCAATGAGACAGTTTCAAAACAGGTTAATAGGACAGTTACAATAATTAATACATTGTATATTGTTGTCTTCATAGTGGTTACTCAGAGTACAAGATGCAGACATGATATCTTGTCTAAACAATATTAGTACAATCTTTCTTCTCATTGAACTAAGTAGCTGTATATCCTATCTTTTGTACATACTTATGTATATATTTTTCACCATAAAATGGTCTTTCATTTATATTGCCCTTTTTTGTTTTGTTTTGTCAGAGATGGGTTTTCCATTGCTGTTAGTGAAGCTGTATTTGGAGAAGTCTTTAAAGGATCTTTTCATACTTGAAGCCAGTTCAAATATTTTAGGTACTTGAGTTCAGCAAAATAATCCAATATAGTTCAATAGTCCATAATAGTAGTGAGTTTCAGCACAACTAGAAATTGTCAGAAATTGTTGACTTGAGTCTTTTACAGCTCAGCATATTAATATAGCATTACTTTTTATACCTCGTGGTTATACTTTTCTGCTGGATGGTTAAGACTAACTTAAAGCAAGACCTATATAACTAAAAATGTAATTTTTTTTATTTTGAGGAACCAGCGATTGAACTCAGGCCCTTGCACTTGTCAGGGAAGTGCTTATTCTACTGAGCCATCTCCCTGGCCCCCCAAAAATGTAACATTTGTATCTGACAAGGTCAGTCAAATCCCCTCAGGATTTACCCTGAATCCATGTACAGCAGCTCATAGATCTTTTGTCAGTGTCAGCCATGTGGATGAGTCATGGCCACTGCTTGACCAATTTGCTCTCTGTGAAAGCCTGACAGAATGTTTTTTCTCCATGTGATTCTCCTTACACATATTATACATCATCGATCACTTTCCTCTGTGACCCCATAATCTCCTTGAACAGAAAGTTTGGGACACCACTGAGTTGCAGGATGTCACAGCACAGGTTCATTTATGTCCACAACAGGCAATTTAAATGTTTGGCAACTGAAATCAATACTCTGCAGAATATTTGATAAATGCACTCATTTTTTTTTTTAGGATCTTTTATTTTTTTTTTTATTTTTCAACAAATAATACACTGCATATATTCTTCTTAGTGGTTAATTGCTGTACAAGATGTGGACTTGTGATCCTATTTACAAACATCATTAGAACAAATCATTCTATTCATTAACAGAATGTAACTATATATCTATCCCAATCACTTTGAATACACAGATACAAAATGGACATTCATCTGTATACCCCATTTTTTCTAAGTTCCGTTATTGAATATTATAGGTGTGTAAACTCAGCAAAATATTCTAAAAGAGTCCAGTAGCCCATAATAGCATTGGGTCTTCTGTTTAACTGGCAATGTCAGAAATTATTGACCTGAGTCCCCCACAGCTCAACTTAACAGCATGGCTTTATTTCTTATAATTTCGTCTTCATACTTTTCTGCTGGATGGTTAAGACCAAGGTAAAGCAGGACCTATGCAACAAGAGTTGTAGCTTTTTGGTCTGAGAAGGTCAGTGAAATGCCCTCAGGATTTGTCCTGAGATCCTGTACCTCAGATTGTAGAACCTTTATCAGAAATGCACTCATTTGTGGAATATATACAAGAGCGCATGTGCCACAGGGAAAATACAAAGATGTGCAAAGATGAACTTAAAGGACAAACTACTCATTGCTTGAATCTTATAAATTAAAAAAAACTGAAATTATTCTTAATGGTTTAATCTTTTTTTTCTATCGTGAAATTGGTTTACGTCCCTCCCTTTTGGACAATTTGGTTATTGCCATTATAAGTAGCTCTCTACTGTCACCTAGAGGATAAATTAAGAATCAGTCACTTGCCCTAATTACTAAATTATATTTCATTCACTGCAGCCCCTCCCTCATTGTGTGTACACAAATTGAAACAAAATTTTATGTCCTTGCAAAAAAAAAGATTAAAATGTTGAATAAATTTCCAGTTATGAATATAATAAAACTCATTTAATGAATAAATTTCTAGTTATGAATATAATAAAACTCATTTAATAAGACAGATTTTCATACTCAAAAATACAGTAAAAGCAACCACAAAGTAAGAGAAACTCACCTGCACATGTTCCATCACATAAAATTCCGTTCCAATGACAGACGCATCACTGCAGTACAGTAAGGGCTTCGCGACAGGGAATCCCGTAGAAAACAAGGCTTTCTGGACTTTAAATTCTCTATCAATCTACATAGTGTGATAAATTATTGAAAATTAAAACAAATTTAGTAACTACTTGTGAACATTAAGTAAGGCTAGAAATCAACTGTGAAATACTATTGCTAAGAATACAGAGCATGACAATGATTACTTTCACAGTGGAATGCAATCATTATAATTAGAAATTAAACCAGCTCTAAAAAAAAAAAAAATTAATTAGTGGAAAGGGATGGCCGCTTGGATGGGGTTTAACCCTCGCTCCAGACATGTGGAGTCAATAGCTCCTGAATGCTATCTGGCAACTGAGGGTCTTGTTGTGCTCCTGCTGTGCTAAACAAGGCACTGAGTATGATGGCTATGAGTAGCAGCAAGATCAAAGACCTACTTGAAACAGGAAAAGAAAGACACACTCCACAGGGTGGGAACAGGTCAGTGAAACAAGCTCAGAACCAGAGGGGCTTGGTGTTGAGGATCTTAAACCTTAGAGTTGGGTGAGACTGAGGGTTTGGCTTCAGATAGGCTTCTACTGACAATGAATTTGACTCATGCCTCCTGTGTGAGGTCCAAAACCCAGAGGCTTGGGGGTTGGGCCAAATCTGCATAGTCAATGACATGATAATTAGAAATGGTTCAGACAGGACACTTACTCTGGTAAGTCAAGTTCCCCAATTACTTTTTCCATTATAATTAGAAATGAGTATCCTGATCCTAAGCAAATGTTTAACACTAAAGGGGGATCCAGTTCTAGAAAACAGGCTCAAGGCAGCCGTGTCTTCTCTTTTTCTAGCCATTTTCTTAGCCACCTCCTGTGTCATGGCCACAGTATTTCACAGATGTGCACCTGAATCATTCCTTTGTTCTCAGCAGCTCACTACTAACTGGATTGCTCTCATGCTTTCGTATCTCCCAACACGGTTCAGACAAGTCTCTTTGGGCTCAACCACAGATAGCTACGGGGCTTGGAGGAGGCAGTTGGTGGTGGGAAGAAAAACATACTCTCCCTTTCTGGAGATTAAGGAGGAACACATTTCCAAGGCAGGAGTTTGGAGATCCTCCTTGGTATCTGGGGCTGCTGTGGAGCTCAATTAAACTACAGTACTGGGAAAGGAGGGAACTAGAAGCAAACAGGTCCTGAAACAGGAGCCTATATAAGACAGAAGAAATTGGCCTCCTTAGCCTGGGCAGATGCATGGGACTATCACAGGGACACAAGGGCAGGGCTGTGACGCAGATCAAGAAAGGATGACTCACGTACATGAAAAGCCACCTTGCTCCAGATCCAGCAATGGAGACTAACCATTTCTAAGAGGGAAACAATATAGCTCCCCTTACATCAGGAAGTAAAGAATTGCTTCTGCAAAAACTGGAACAGGGAGGTAACTAAGACCAAGTCTAAGGGAGAGAAAAACCAGCAGTGCCAATGGCTACAGAAGGAAATGTTTATAACCATCCTGGTGTCAGGAAATGAGTTGGGGGAGAGCACTCAGAAATCAGGGAGGAAAGGAGAGAGAGAAGGAGAGGGTTAGGGAGAGAGAGGGAGAGGGAAAAGGAGAAAGGGAAAGGGAGAGGGAGAGAGAAAAGGAGAAAGGGAGAGAGAGAGGGAGAGGGAAAAGGAGAAAGGGAAAGGGAGAGGGGGAGAGGGAAAAGGAGAAAGGGAGAGGGAGATAGGAAAAAGGAGAAAGAGAGGGGGAAGGAGAGGGAAGGGAGGAAGGGAGGAAGGGAGG